AAAGATGGCTAACAATTTAATGAGGTCTACAACAAGCCATGCAAAGCAGTCTAACTGAGTGGCAAGCATTCTTAATCTCGTAGCTGTTGTTTAAACAAGGTTTGGTGGCTGGTTACAAAACAGGAAAGTAAAAACGTCCCTAAAACAGAAAAAAAAAAAAAAAGACATAGATCAAACTCGAAATTGAATGAATAAAAGAATAAAAATATCAGATGAATTATGAAACAGAAAATCATTTGAAATAAACGAGTCAAGAACTTTTCAAAACCTCTTACAAAATTTATGTTTTACTTTGTTACGGTATTTTCACAACCGACAGAAAAATACAACTCGTACAAACTCAACTACTTTATTGACCGACGTAATAATCTTACTAGGGAGCGGTACCAATAACCAGTACAATAACTACCCTCTTATCTTAGAGCCCTCTATAAAACTATGATCTCAGTGTACTACTGCACAACTCACAGTTCTCTTCAAAGATCCTTGTAACTTATCGTTGTCCACAAAACTTTTCCCAATGTAGCCTTTCACATGGCTGACGATTTCAGTAACAGTAAATAATTCCAACAATTCTCTCTAGTCCGGCTCTGTAATAACACTAACTTCTCTGGACTCTTCGCGACAGCACTAACTCTATTGACGCTCCGCGACAACACACTGTTTCACAATACCTGGCTCTGCTCTCTGGCTCGCTGGCTGTCTAAAATGACGCACAGGAAAGATTAACTGAAGAAAAGGCTCACTGAGGAAAGGCTAACTTTTACCGATCGCGACTCCTTATATATGTTTTACAAAATGTTCTAGAAGATTCCAGGAATCTGAAACACAACTATTTGTAGTATCATTACATCGCTATTGGATAATAAAAAAATATGCTGCCTACGGGTTCTAGGAAGTCTTAATGAGTCCGACAGAATTAGTGGTACCAGCCTTCACTTAAAACGCTTCCGCTTGCGATGATATTTGATCCCTGTTAACTAGAATGGGTTTTTAAACTTTCCAACAGTGGAAACCAACGGCTTAGACGGTTTCCTTGACATATATGTGCATACTGCTAGGGTGGAATACCATATTTTTAAGTTAAGTTATGCATATTTTTAAGTTAAAATTATAATAAAATAAGATACTAGTAAGATACTAAAAAAACTATCATAACGTGCTATTTAAAAAGTCAGTAATCAATTTATTTTTCAAATAAAATTTAAAAGTAGAAATCGATTCTGCAATCTAGACAGTACTCTTAAAATTGCAAAATCTATTTCTGTATGGTGCGTAGTGAGAATATTTATTATTCGATTAACTCTTAAATAGGTATGTTTATATTGCTTTTGTTCACCGCACTCTTTCCTTTTTAATTGAATTGTTAACTACTTCTCTTATCTTAATTAGTAGTCGCATTGTNGTCAGTAATCAATTTATTTTTCAAATAAAATTTAAAAGTAGAAATCGATTCTGCAATCTAGACAGTACTCTTAAAATTGCAAAATCTATTTCTGTATGGTGCGTAGTGAGAATATTTATTATTCGATTAACTCTTAAATAGGTATGTTTATATTGCTTTTGTTCACCGCACTCTTTCCTTTTTAATTGAATTGTTAACTACTTCTCTTATCTTAATTAGTAGTCGCATTGTCACTGAAAAGCCCCACCAGGGGAGTGTCAATAAACTATTGTATTGTATTGTATTGTATTGTATTGTATTTTTATGTCAATTTTTACATGTGATCACGTAATTAAAACAATGCTACTTCCTTTTGCATCGATGGCATCTATATCAAGGGAAGTTGTCTGTTACCACAATTTGTCGGTTTGCCTTTTTCGAGTACAGACCACGCCAAAAACCCAAAAAATCTGAGAAGAAAAGAGGACAAAAAATAAAGGTAACTGCAGCGGATTTCTTTATGCATTTTTTTCGAGCTATTCCGAGAGTCATATTTTCACCCCTGAGGAAGTTGTTTAATATCTAAATCTTATTTACTACAAGCTATTTTTAGATTTGTTCATTTGCACTACAGCCTGATACAGCAAAAGTATAACAATTTCTTTTATACGTTTGCAAGCATCTTATCGTGGATCATGATCATGAGTTGAGCTTAGTAACAACTGAAAACCGAATGAAAAATAAATGTAGACTAGGAGTAATCGAAGCTTAGAAGAGCACGTTCGATATGTTTGTAAGGCGTACCGGAAGCAGTTGAGGAGGAAGGGTGGATGGTTATGGCGATGATTAAGCCCGGTTTTCATATGATCTCTACGATCGCTGAAGTTCTTTTTTGTTTTTTGTTTTTTGTTTTTTCTCAACGATCGCAGCCATCACAGCAATGGTAGCGATCATATGAAAACCGGGCTTTAATTTGATCATGGCATATTTTAAACGTAAGGATTGCTTACATCGAAACCTCTATTTAAACTGTGTATCATTATGAAATAGCCTTAAAGGCTGGTGATATCGTATGGTCCGTCTCAATAAGTGCAGTAGTTTGGTCGAGTGTGTTGATTTCAGTGACTTGAGTGGAGCTACTGTGGGCTGTTGATAAGTTTTTCCGAATACCATAGACCTAAAATGTTCGTTGTCCGGCGCCGAAAATATCAAACGTCATGATGAAAGGGCGCCGCCGAGCTTCACATCTCGGTAGATTTACTTTGTGGCACAACGGCCGCCGAGCTACACAACTCTGTAGACTTACTTTGTGGCACAACGGCCGCCGAAACTTTTGAAAGATGAACGTTTTGAAAGATTCGGCAAACACAGATTGATAGTAGACCTTCAGCAAACTCTTGAAATATGTACGCTTTACGAAGATTCAGCAAACTTTTAAAAGATAAACGCTTTACGAATTAAGACAGAATAAAAGACCTCAGCAAACGCTTGAGGACGCACGAATCATCACGTGAGTTAGTTCGTCAAAGTGAGGCAAAACGTAAGCATTAGCGCCTCAAAGCGAGGCAAATGTGTGTCGACGACGATGAGAAATGCAATCTTGAAAAAATCTCCCTTATTAATTGCACAGCGAACCCAATATTGCACAAAACACCCAACACAAATTACGGGTTGCATTCTCGTACCTCGAACGCAATAATTATTTTTAACCGACTTAAGCTCGACGCGACATCGTTTACACGCTTGAGTTCACCGAACTTCTGCTCAAGTACTTTAACAAGATGCTTCGTTGTTGGGATTTTTTGCATCATAATACAAGCGTAAATGTAGCTTTAATAAAGTTTTCTCATTGTCTTTAATGGTGGTAAAAAGTTTGTAGAAGAAACCGTTTGGATAAAACCAGCGGAAGATGTAGTAAGTGATGCAAGACTGCTTTCACATGTGAAATGAAGCACATTTACTAATGCTATCAACACAACTACAGACTGTTAAAGTCAAAACCAATCAGGCAAACTAATTCGTGCCAAAGTGCAGTGGAACATGAAAATAATTATGACCAAAATATATTTCAATCGATGATTCTCGATTGATAACAAAGCTCATAGGAAGTTTGCAAGGATGTTTGTACGTACCCTCCAGTAACTATTCGAAAATCTTCGTTCATATGGTTAAAAAAGTACGGTCGCCTTGTCTGAATTGATACCTCGCGGTTTAGTCACATCCAAGCAGTCCAAACAGATTCCTGACAGAATTGACACAGTGCAAAAGTTACCTTGGGCTATTTAACAAGTCAGGTGCCAGATTAATTCAGTGATTAAAAAACACTTTACCTCGTAAATCATGAACGAGTGTATGGGGAGGCGATGAAAATTTCACTTATACCTCATATGATTCTTTTTTGAGCAATTCTATTCTCCAGGGCGAAGGTAACTATCATTTCTACAACTAAAAAAAAACAACCGTCTATAGACGAAGAAAGGGTATTTTCTATTATTCTTCCAACTAACGAACGAAGAAGGCGGAAATTGTTTTACACGGTGACGAATTGAATGGTTCTTTCGAACTTTCCACGAGCCCTTCTAAGGAGAGGAAGTTGGGCTGCCATTATGATAGCAACGATAATTCATTAGTTGCTATATGTGGGCTGTCTTTTTTAGTGGGATGAATAACGTCTGTATTATTCGTAATGACTCTGTGGCTTGTTCACAAATGGTTGTGGCGAACGATCTCCATTCTTCATTACTCGACAATTATTTCTTATTTTTTAGGTTACCCAATATACAGCAAAGGTTGATTTTGTAGCTAAAATGTAAGCCTTGCAGCTTAAATTTTATAATTCGTTGTTTTTGATGGATCAACCGATTCAAAATAGTGAAGTGATTCAAAATTTGCCATATACTGGTGATCTTACGCTAGAGGAATTTGCGGGTGAAATTATTTCTTGAGTAACCCATTCTTAAGGTATCATCCAGGGTAAAAAATCATCATTTTACTAAATTTGCAATTTTTACACGATTAAATAGAGCTCATCAAGAGCTTTCTTTTTAAAAAAAAATACCAGGAAAAAATGTTTTTTCTGTGCAGACTTATGGAGTGCAAAATTTTTTCACTATGCTAATTATTTTAATTGATCGTTGACAAGTCCTGTCATACTTGATACGCGTGCAGCTGTTCAGCCAAGATAATCCCGCAATTTGACAGAAATCGTGGTTTACAAATATAGTGCTCACTGTTTTTCCGTGGAGTTTGAAAGAGAATGCCTCCAAAGAAGATAAAAGAGCTAGTCCGTTTTCGTCCTCGACTCTAAGACAAAAGAAGACGACAAAATCGTTTTGCCGCCAAATAGTGGGTTTCGAAATTAGCAGAGAGCGACAAGGGCTCCTACTACAATCAAGAAAAATGGCTAAAAGATGACAAAGCTCCTGAAAAACACATTGAAACTACTACGGAATCGAGTTTCACGAGTTCGTAAGCGAGCGGAGAGAGCTTTTTAGGCCGCGACGAGAGGTTCCGCGCCATATAAAATCGGACGAAGTACTGTTTTGAAAGTCTATTGTAGCGGGAAAGAAGCTTCAAGAAAAACTCCAGGAAGCGGTTTGTTGTCGATTTTTCCAGGGAAGTGTCGAACTTTTAAAAAATGTATCGAGTAAAAGTGGCTTGGCTCAACTTGGCTTGTCCGGTGCGAAAATGAAAACTCCCCCTTGCAAATAACTCAGCTTTCTCGACAACAGAAAGGATCGAACAGAGCACACGCGCCCCAAACTCATTACATGAACGCGGACGTGACTCTTGCTTGCGAGCGGTGTTGTGTTACAAACGTTTATTAGGGAGTTTAAGATACGGCGACTACGGACTACGACTACGGTTAAACATGCTACTGCGCATGATCAAAACCACGTGACAGTTCGTTTTTCCCGCGTAGTCCTGCGGCTACGGTGAGTTGTTGAGCTGTTTCGCGTAGTCGGGACTACGGAGAACATTTTGCTCGTATTTTGCCGTCTCGGTAATTTCAGAATCTCGTCTTCTCGTTAAAATTAAAGTTTTCAATTCACCTGCTTTAAGTGAGAGGGAAGCGAAATTTGTAAGTTGTGTCTAATTTCTGCTCAGATTTACGCTTTTAATCCACTGTTGTGACCTCATTTTTATCTAGCTAAGCTCATATTTGAATGAGCTTAGCTGTTTATCCGCAGAATTCCGATTGACGGCCGAGAAGAAGAGAAATCATGCGAGTAATTTACAGTTTCTCTTCGCACTTCAAAAATTTCAATGTTTGTTCGAACTGATTATTGTGTCTTTCTACTTGTGTAACCTTTGTTTATGCGAGTTTTTGTATCGCATTTGCTGAATGAAAATGATGTAAACATCTTCGAGTAAAACAATGGAAACTCGGCATTTCAGTACTTCAAACTAAATCAGATCAGTAGTCGCAGAAGTCCATCTTCTAAATCTAATAAATGAGCTATTGCTATTTCTGTCTATTTCTTTAATATTTGACATAAGAATTCATGGGCAAAAAAATAAAACCTGTCCAACCAAAACTTTGTTTACCAATTTCACCCGACGTAACTGCTTCCTTCAAGTATGGAAGAGTCTGTTAATTGTTCTAAAGATAAGATCAAATGCAAAACTGACTTGCATTTTTGTGAACTGTGATGAAAACAGGAAAACTTTGCGTGTTGTTTCCTTCTCCGCTTCTTCTCTCGTAGTCTACCGTCTGTAGCGCAATCTTAACGTTCTATATTTGCACGACTCAACCCAGTGCTACGAACAAAGGACAACGCTCGTCCACCCGTAGTTCGTAGTCCGTAGTCTCTGTATCTTAAACTCCCTATTTACAAAGTCTTGTATGGGATGTAAACGGTTTTTCTTAAAAGAGGGAAAAAATTTTATGTTTTTAAATAAAATCGACGTACCTTATTGCCTTGTTGTTTTCTTTGTTGTTTGCTCGCGTCTCAGGCCGTTTTGAAGCGTTTTCGGCGAGTTAGCGCTATTTTGGTGTTCCACTGCGAAAAACAACAAAGAATACAACAAAACATAAGGTACGTCGATTTTATTTAAAAACATAACATGTTTTCCCTCTTTTAAGAAAAACCGTTTACATCCCATACAAGACTTTATAAATAACCGTTTGTAAGTACACAACACCGCTCGCAAGCAAGAGTCACGTCCGCGTTCATGTAATAAGTTTGGGCCGCCTGTGAACAGAGCAGAGCCTTTGAAATAAATTGTTTATCTGTTGTCGGGTTTCGTTTTCAACTTTTCCTGCTGTGTCACTATTGTTGTCCCTTCTCTGGTATGCATCAACATTGACAACTTTGGTGTTATAATCTTTTTATAATCTCACCACGGGTAATACGCCGCCAAAAATCTTTTTCCACTGTTTTCTCGAAACGAAAATCAGGGCAAGTTGAGGGTACGTTTTAAACTCCAAGTCGGCAACCCGTGAACCTATTTGGCTGAAATTTGGCCAACTTACTGTCAGATAGTTTTTCTAAAAAACCGTCTGCAAATTTTGATTTCTTTTTTCGTTTTCGAGTTAGAGTATTTTTTTACAGGTAGTGCTAATGATTTGCTATCCCTAACTTCACCTGCTTATAACAACAGAACAAACGCACTTGATAAAAATCTGAGACACGGTTTTTTAGTCAAACGTGTTAAGAAGCGAATGAGTTCTTAATTGGCTTCTTCCGTTAATTTTTGGCTGGATTGGACTTAAACTTACAGTGATACCCACTTTCACAAAAAGCTCCTCATTTCTAAATCGCGTTAATATTTTGATTTTTTAAAAGAAGTAAGCAATATTCTGGAACTATTAAGCTTTCAGAAAATGTGCGGTGTATGGGGGTATTTGTTAAAAGCAAAAGCGCTAGCGCCGATCAACGTGAGGAGGGTGCTTGAGGATGGATGATACCTTAAATTTGGCTTGCTCTCGTCTAAATTCTTGTTAATTCCCCATTGCTTCAATGCTTGTTAATTTTCCTCTCTTAAATGCGGAGAGAATTTTTACAACATACAAGACAATTTATTTATTTTTATTTTACTCGTCACCATTTGATTACACCTGCTAACATGAAAAATACCCAATGGTCAGAAAGAGGATTTGATAACCAACCGAGCGTGAAAGGGAAAACATCACAAAATGGCGGACGAGAATGAAAATTCTACAGGTCCATATCAAACTCATTGCGACATTTTCAATAAGTGTCACACATGGCCATTCCTTGTATGCTTTTATTCCATTAGTTTTTTTATTTATGGTATTTAGCATTCTAGAGTTATGGTGCCTTGATTCTATGCTAGTTGTTCATTTACCGTCTTTGCATTCCGCATTGAGGAATTATGTTGCCTCGATTTCATGATTCTAGTTTTATTTACGACATTTGGCATTCCGCATTCTGGAATTATGTTGCCTCGATTCCATGTTCCTTGTTTCATTTACGGTATTTGAATTCTGCATCCCCTATTCTGGAATTATGTTGCCTCGATTCTATGTTCCTTTTTCTTTTTACGGTATGTGCATTCTGAATTATGGAATTATGCTGCCTTGATTTCATGATTCTAAGTTTTATTTACGACATTTGCATTCTGCATTTTGGAATTATGTTGCCACGTTTTTATGTTCCTTCCTTCATTTACGGTATTTAAATTCTGCATTCCCCATTCTAGAATTATGTTGCCTCGATTCTATGATCATTGATTATTTACGCACCGTATTTGGAATTCAACGTATTTACTATACGGTAATTATGTTGCCTCGATTCCATAGAGTTAGAACGAGGTAGCCTGGAAATAACTTGTGGGCGAGGCTAAAGCGTGAGAAACTGGAACCGATAAGCAGAATTATTTGAAAAAAGTCACCTTCGAAATGAGTTTAGCGGACTTGGTGGACGAGTCGTTTATACGAGAGCTTGTTGAACGAGAGTTTTCCTACAAATCCATTAGTGAAAGACTCCGAATTCTCTTTCCTGGTAAGAGTTATATCTCTTTGCATTACCTTTCTATCTAAATTTCTGGCTTGTAATGTTGATGTTTTCTCCGGCAGAGTCACGCGGGCTTAGCGCGCGAAGCGTAAGACGATTTTGTAAAGACAGAAATATAAATGTAACGTCATTGCAATGGATATCAGACGAACACCTAGAAGAAATGGTTTCGACGAACATCTTGCAGGTGAAGTTGAATTTTGTGAATTGTATCAGTAAACCAGTAATATAACAATTAAAGTGATCACCAACTGTTAATCCCATCCATGTAAGCCGGTGTAAAATGTCACGTTCAATTGCATGCCTGGTTTTTGCCGGGAAATAGTTAATGAGACTCGTATCGTAACCAGCTTTTTTTAGGGGTAGGAATTCACATGTCTGGTACCCTGCAAAAAGAGGCTGTAATGTGTCCACCCCTTCCCGGGCTATCCCCCTGGGCATTAGCATCTTTCTTGAATGGCAAATTTCCGGGGTTAGGGACACTTAACCTGCGAAATACCCTGTGATGGGGATGAAGGAAGAGTGCAGATGCCCCATCATTTCAATATACAAACCTATAAAACATCTCAATGAAGCATACATTTTGAATGAGAAATACAATGATTCATGTCGATTTTTCTTGATCTCGCTATATATGGCTATGTTTCACACATAAAGCAACAAAACTTTTGCAATTTATATATTTTGATATATAATGATCATTAGGGATAACTGAATATGATATAAATCAGTAAATGCCACAATTTGTTTTTCTTTCCAGTATGGACATACGTATAGAAGGCGTATGATGTAGGGTACCCTACGATATCAAATGCAAGAAAATTTGCGTTGCCGTGAAATCAGTCAAAGAAGAATTTCAAAGATGCTGAAGAAGGTTGCCCCTCGTGCTCACAGGGAAAGGGCACATGACTTGCTGGACTGAACAAATCCAGTTCCCTACCATGCACCCTATTTTGGATATAAGTTGTATATGGACCAAAATGAAAAGATAGCGCAGGAGTATGGAGTCACCCATGTCCATGCTCTGGATGGCTGTAGCAGGATGGTTCTTGGTTTCATTACAATACCAAAAAAGAACCCGGTGCTCATATACCAATATCTATTTAGGTAAGGACCCAATCAATTTTATGCCTCATATGCTGGTTTCTAGAACACTTAAGAAAGCATACTGTGAAATTCAGAAACCCAGAAAAGTATTACATACAGTCACATTATGCAATCTGTTATTGTGTTTCAAGGAGAAAGCCAATCAGGCCTGAGAAAGGTAAACCAATTTAAACACAAACAGCAATGTTAGGTAGTTGTAAGTTTTGAGGACTACCCGAGGGTCCTGGTCTCCAAGGTGATTGGTCTCTAGACAGTCAATATCTCTGAAATATTTCTGGTATTCACAATTTTCTAAGTTTGACACTCACTGAACCTATAATAAAATGACAATTTCTCATTTGTATTATTGTGTGCTTGCTGTTTTTTTAAAAAGAGATAACCAAACTCTCTTTTGTGAGATCTCCAAAAAATCCCCAAAGCCATTAAGTAGATTTTCTTGCTGGGCAAGTTACTTTTCATGCTTACTTAACCAATAGGCAAGTCCTCTTGTAACTTAATGACAAAAAGTAAAAGTATGCAACTAGCCTGGGTAAGCAAAAATGATTAAAGGTGCAGTCTATCTTCCGAGTCCTATAATATTAAGTATGTAATTAATATGAACATTTTTGCTTTTTATAAAGTCCTCTTTCATTGTTCCACATTGTTCTATTTTTTTATGTTACACAGGCCCTTACTACTTCAATATGGGTTATTTGATCAGTTACATGTTGATCATGGAACAGAATTTTGCCTTTGCATCTTTGTACAGGAGTTACTTAAAAATAGACGTGGTGATACCAGCAGAGCCCCTTGGAGACAAACCACATCTACTAAGAATTACAGGGCAGAGAGGCTATGGCCAGAGGGAAATGCTCGAGTTAAATATCCTCTTAAAAGGACACTTAACTTCATTAAAGAGCGGGAGATATTCAATATGGAAGACCCCCTTGTTAGTTTTGCAGTTTCTTGGGTAACTCTACATGTCAGTAAAGTGGGTTCAGGGAACTTTGTCAACTCTTGGAACTATCACCGAATTCCAGGTGAGTTTTGGTGCTTTAGACGAAGGTCACTGAACTTTAATGTTGGTGTTATTTTTCCCTCAATTTTATTAACCATGATTATGTGTTTATTGTAACATATATGTTTTTTATGTGATATTTCCCA